TCACTCATTACTTCTGCCGTTTGGCAATTTTGTTCCAGTAAATGACACCTGTAGAAATAGCACAAATCTGCATGCGTATCTTCTAGGAAACACCTCGGAAACCAGTTTGGTACCATGTCTATGTTTCGAAAATCTTTGAATGCAACTACGATCCGCCTACTCTACTGGAAACATACGAAAACCCAGGCTGGAACTCACCGGAAGGGCTCGTGCGATTATGCGTTTTTGCACCGGACTTGAAGTACTCAGGTCATTAACTGCATAAATGGTTGTTGCTTTACACCTACCTTTTGCGTTTATTAGCATAAATCACCATAAATTTTGCATAAAGTAAATGTACAATTTCCATTTAACGGTCGTTCTTTAAAAGTTATCCACATGTTTAGAGAGAAATTTTTTCGCCAAAACTTTAATTGCTCATACGTAAAAACCACGTATGCCTTAAGTTGTACTTGGACAAAGAACATTCCCCCAAAATTTCAGCCTTTCAGTTTTTCTGGTTATCGAGCCAGCAATTTTCCTGCCAAAACTTTCATACGCTCTTATGTGAGTACCACGCATACCTGGGGGCTGAATTTGAAATCTTTAGCTAATACATGCACAGGGAACATCCTTACAAAGTTTTAGCCCCTTACCTTGTCTGGTTCGTGAGATCGCTTTCCCTCCAAAAAATTTGCATATTTTTTAAAGCGTCCATACGCTTCCGCGGGGGATGGAATTAAAAGGGGAGGGTCGCGCTTGGTATTGGCACATACTCTCAAAGTTTCAGTCTTCTAGCTTTTTTGGTTCACGAGTTGAAAGAGGGTGACAAAAAGTGCGAGCAAACAGACACACACAGCCTCTTCCCAATATGCGTTTTTGTAATTTGTATGTATGCAAAAACTCATAAAAAAAGAATGAGCTAATGGAGCGAAATTCAAGGAAGATCCAAAAGTTCTATGGTTCAAAACCCTCCTCTTGTTACAGATAATTTCGTCTTCCCACCCTCCCGATGCCCTCAAAAAGAGCGAAGTTAACGATGACTAGTCCACGAACATCTAGAAAATATGGGTTTGCGAGGATTCGCGATTGCCTGCCAGAGGAATGAGGACGGACAAAGAACAAAATAACACATCGATTCATAGGCGCCAGATCAGAGAAATTTGCCCCTTATTTCCCTTCTCCTCCAAAAATCGATACTTCTAGCAGTGAAATACTACATTTTGTATTTCTGGGAATGTTTATTACCTTTTTGAGGCCTTCCTTGGATGCTTCTGCGAGTGAATCTGTCTGTCATTTCCTAGTGGATGTGATATCTCTCCTGGTAATCCAAAAGTAGTGATATTCAAGGCAACGTATTAACACGCAGCAAAAACATCTCGAAAGGACAAAAATTTGCCAAATATACATCTGGAAAAATGTTGAGCTAGTAATCTCTTTGGGAGACAAAACGGACACTAGGATCATCAGCAGACTGACCACAAAACCGCAGCTACTAAAGTGCTAGCTGCACAAACAGAGAGCCGTACTGCGTTTTAACATCTGTTCTGGTATCTGAGGCAAAAAGAACAGAATTATGTATTCCGAACTGCAACTCACTCTGCCAACTGTAATCAGCTGTTAACAGGGGCTATCAACCTCTTCTCGCTCCGTCAGAATAAAGTTAGCATTTACATCCTTTCTTTAAGTTTTTCGACCAATCTACTAATCTCTTTTGTCTAGTTTTGCTGCTGTCTTTGATTCTTGTCTCGAGCTCTTGACTAGCACCCTTGTTCCCCTTCATCCTGTACCGAAAAAATCCTGCCTCAAAAGCGACATCCAAGGTCGCTGAGCATCGTGGCATGTGAGATGAAACCAGAAGTAACACAATCTTTCAGTTTGGTTTGATGTAGAACTTGTGGTGTTTGTAATTTTTTATTTGCAACTTCAACTTAACCTCCAATAATTTCACTATTTTCTTAACTTATAGCAACACCAAAATCGTCGCACTGTCGAAGTCCAGCTGTTTTCTGTTGAACTGGAATGTATGTCCAACTCAGAATAATTCCTTTTTGAATTATTTTTCATATTTATTTTTTCCACATATCTCTCGTCTGTCTTTTTTGTTTGCAATATTCATTTTTTGTTGCGTATTTTTTTAAACGTTGTTTGCTTATTTTTCTTTGCTTTTTTTTCTTATTTTTATTTTTTATTTTC